GAAGGGACAAACTTCTGGTTGTTGGAGCAACTTCACCACAAGCCTGGAGGGTGGCAAAAGTGATTTGTTTTTGAAGTGGAGTACTGGCACTCAGTACGACGGTGGGAAGTGACAAAAGTGACAACTTTTTGGGAGCAGAGGTGTTGCCGCCGACTGCTTGCACCGTGAAGCCAAGAGAAGTGAACATTTTTTTTCGAGCATGGGGCGCTTGCAGTTTCACCGCGAGGCCTGGAGGTGAATCAGAGGTTTCCCCCGCCCTGGCCTGGCACTCGGGTCCCGCATCGCATCATGGCACTGGGGAGAGAGTTCAGGGTCACGCTGCAACCTGCAATTCTGCGCCCCGGAGGTCATGGCTTCCCTTGCAGCGCCATGCAGCGGAGGCATGGGGCTCATGTGACTTTCGGCACTCATGTGGAACTCATGTTGACGCACAATAAGCTCATGCTGACAGTGTCGATTGCGATCATGGCTCCTGAACAGCGCAGCGTGGCTGCATGAGCGATCTTCTAGGTTTGTCTCGGTAGCCATGGCTGTGAAACGTACACTTGGGAAGCTCTTGCTGGCTCTCGCGGCCACGACTTTGTTTCCACCTCAGGCTGGGCAGTCTTCATGATCTGCTGCCTGCTTTGGTGCACATTGTTGGGTGTACGTAGTCATGCTTCCTGCAGGCCGCACTGGCAGGATGGCGCGGCCACGAGAAGCCTGTGGCGGAGCACCAGGGTCTTGACATTGCCAGGTGGCCGGTCCAATCCAAGGACTTGCTGGTCAATCTGTTTGCTGCCGTGGGGACTGTGGCGGCTGCGGTCATCGCCTGTGTCCAGGTTCGGATTGCACAACGGGACTCTGAGAGAGCCCGACGGGAGTCCAAAGAAGGCCGTATCCAAGCGGCAGTGGACCGTATGCTGCAGACCTTTCTCCCAAAGACCAAGGAGGAGAATGTGGTGAAGCGCGACATCATGAAGGACATCCGGAACCGAATCCTGGGTTGGAGTCAGCATGCGACGATCATTGCGGGGCGCTTCGGCTGCGGCAAGACCGTGGCGCTGGAAGAGGCGCTCCGCGACATGCAGGGCGTCTACGTCCACACCGTGGAGGGCAGCGGTTGGAAGAAGGAGCTCTATGCATTGCTGGGCTTGGACGACGAGGAGATGTTCAGGAAGGTCCTCGAAAAAATCCGACAGAAGCTCAACAAGGCGCCCGTCCTGGTGCTCGACATCCCGCGATCGACCAAGGAAGGCGGGGGGCTTTGAGGCATTCGGAGCGTTTCTCTTCCTACGTGTTTTTTTGGCTGGATTCCAAGGCATGGACTCAATCTCCAGCTTCGCCAAGACTTTCTCGTCGGAAGGGTCGCTGGCGCACGCCGGGACCCG